AGAACACAGGAAGCTGGTGTTTTAAATTAATTTAATACCATTTCACAAGGAATGGTATTCAGAAGCAGCAAGACTACTGTGAAAAGCTCTTGATGTTCTAGTATAAATCATGTTTTAATGAACCATTGAGTATGGCATATCTTCACCCAACTTATCTCTAGTGAAAAATAAATGTGATTGTAGAATTTTCAGATTTTTGAGACTTTTCAGATCTCATTCAAGAAAACCTAAAAAGTTTTATGTTTTGAAATCATGAAGTTTGTTACCTCCAGCTTTGTTCTTTTACCTCAAAATTGCTTTTAGCTACTTGGGAGTCTTTTATGGTTCAATCTGTATTTTAGAACTGCTTTTTGTATTTCTGTAAAAAGTGACATTGGGATTTCACAGGGACTGCACTGAATCTGTAGATACTTCGAGAAGTATCAACATTTTAACAATATTAATTCTTCCAATTCATGGTCATGGAATTTATTTCTATTTGTGTCTGCCTTAATTTCTTTTGTCAGTGTTTTATAGTTTTTCACCTCCTTAAGCTTATTCTTAAGTACTTTATTTTTTTGATGCTATTATAAATGGGATTGTTTTAAAACAGATCTATAGACCAATGGAACTGAATAGAGAGCCCAGAAATAAACCCACACATATGTTAACTCATCTGTGACAAAGACGCCAAGTATACAGGAAAGGTGTGGTGTCTCTTTAGTAAGCTGTGCTGGAGAAAACTGGAGATCCACACACAAAGAATGAAACTGAACCCTTATGCCATACATAAAAACTAATTCAAAATAGATAAAAACATAAACGTGTGACTTGGAAACCATAAAACACCAAGAAATAAACATACAGGAAAAGCTTCTTGACATTGGCCTTGGCATTCACTTCATGGATATTACACCAAAAGCAAGGCAACAAAAGTAGATCTGGTGAGTAGGAAGACATCAAACAAAAATCCCTGCACAACAAAGGAAACCACCAACAAATGAAAATGCCACCCAGGGGAAGGAAGAAAGCATGCCCAAACCATATACCTAGCAGTTAATATCCAAATATATAGAGGACTCCTGCAAATCAATAGCAAAAAAGAACAAATACTCTGATAAAAAAATTACCAAAGGAACTACATAAATAGACTAGCAAAGGAATTCTAAAGACATAAAAATGGCCAACAGGCATATGAAAAGGTGCTCAACATCACTAATCAACAAGGAAATCCACAATGAGATTATCACCTCACAACAATGAGGAAGGCTGTCCCAAAAATTACACACAAAGGGTTTGGTGAAGATGTGGAGAAAAGGGAACCCTTGTACACTGGTGTGAATTAAATTGGTTGCAAGCACTTTAGTATGGAGGTTCCTCAAAAAAATTAAAATATAATTACCATATGATCCAGCAATCTCATTTCTGGGTATATAACCAAAGGAACTAAAATAAGGATCTCAAAGAGATACTTGCACTCCCATTTCCACTGCAGCATTATTCACAAAGCCAAGATGCAGAAGCAACCTAAACGTCCACTCACAATTAGATGAAAAAAATGATACATACAAAGGAATATTATTCAGCCTTAAAAATAACAGTACACTGAAGTATTCTGCTTATATCAGCTTCCTCGACATTACAGTGGCCAAAGTGACTCAGCCAAGCTGATCAAGTCAAGGGACAGGGAAGTCACTCCATCCACAAGAAGCCATGGCATGAGAACAGGGATAATAGAGGTGAAGAACTGAGGATTTGCTACAGGTTGCATGACTCCCTCCGTGCAGACCAGCTGCTTCTTCTGTCTCTCTTACACATGACTCTAGAATGCAAGCTCCATTTAGCAAGATTTGTCTTTCTTTGTCCACTGCAGTACTTCCAGTATGTAGAGTCTGTTTTGTTCACCGCTGTTGTCCTAGTGTTTGGAACAATGCCTAGTACATAGCAGGTAGTAAACATGACTGACTGCCCCCAGTGTCCTCAGCCTTGAGAATTACATGATCTTCAGAGTCCAATGCTCCTGAACCAATCTGCTTTGTCCAGCTTGGGTCAGGAATCTATCTCTTATTCAATCACACACTGTAACCAGAGGAAGAATGTAGGTAGTTCAGGGACAATTCTCAGAAAAGGGAGCATATCCCAGGTATTTATGGATAAGTATTACTTATGGATATAAATAAATGTCTGTGGATAAGTATTATTATGTGCATAAGATTATTTATGGGTAAGTAGATATCCCAGGTGTTTATTTCACATGATGTATACAACCCTTTGTGATCTGGTCCATGTCTGCTTCCAGGATGCAAGTATAGTACAGTGGTTAAAAGGGCATGTTTAGGGTCAGGCAGGCCTCCATTCAAATCCTGGGTTAGCTACTTACTGCCTATGTAACTATGACCAAGTTACTTAACCACTCTGAATCTTCATTTCCCATCTGTAAAACGGTAACAATTACCTTATAAAAATATTGCACAATTAAATAATGTAACATACATAAGATCTTCATAGTACCTGGCACATAGGAAACTTGGTAAATGGTGGCCATTTCTACTAGGTGTGTAAGCCTAGTGCCTAGTATTCTAGTTGTATCCTAGTGCACACTGTTGTGTCCTTAGACAAATTTTGCATCATACTCATTTTAATTATAATTTTAGTTGATTGTATCAGAGATGCACACTTAACCCAAAGTAGCCAATCCACAGGCTGGTCAATGACCTACAATAGCCTGATGTACAGACCCTCTCTCCTTTCCATTTCTGGCTTCAGTGTGGCATAGCCCTTTCCCAGAAGTTCGTTCCTTGCCAGGGTCCTGAGGCAAGGGAATTAGAGTAAAATGAGAATGGCCTACTCTGTGCTGCTGCTAAATTAGGTAGGTCTGCAGGCATGGACTTCCTGGGAAAATATGGGTGATTACACAGGCACAATAATCATGGTATAAAGAGTAGCCTAATATTCATATTAGGCTTTGAAAACTAATTAGAAACTCAAGGAAGTGAGCTTTTATATTACAGATGTTCACTGAGTTGTACAAACTAGATTTAAGCAAATTTGACTTACGCATATCCATCATAATATTTTAGCAATGAAGACTTTGCATTCTCTACAGATAAAGAGCAGTCAGGCTGATGAACTAATACCAGGGAGGTGAGAGCAGAAGGCTGGAAGCATCACCACAGAAGCCCTCCTGCCTCCAGTCTTAACTGGTTTCCTTCACTTGCTGCTGTAGGTGTGGCCTCGCACTCAGGACTGCTCTGGCCCAGGCTCTTTCCTGTTGGTCTGCCTAGCCCAGGGTATAAGCACTGGACATAGGTGATCTCTAATAATCTGTCCATCTCTAAAATCCTGACTGTGCTTCTCTCCCTGTTTCCCCCATAAAATACATCATTAAGATTTCCAATAAGAACTTCTGTTAGTAAAAGTACCCCCTTCTGGTGCTAAAACATATGATACCTGCTCCTACCTGGCTAGCAGTTACAACATTCCTCATGACTCCTTGTAGAGTCAGCTAAAATAATGAAGTAAAGATAATCATTTTTAAATAACTGCTTATATATTGATGATAATTTTTTCTATCAAGTATGTGTGTTAGTTTCAACTATTGAATATATTTTA